CCCGGCCGCATCCTGCCCAAGAACCGCACTCCTCCGCCTTCACAGCGTATTTCTGCACAGGACTTCTAACCAGCTGCTCACTTTCTCCTCTTGCAGAGCCACTCACAGAAAGCCGCTCAAACCCAGCTGCCGCCTGTCCCTCCTCAGCGAATGCCACCGAGATTGCTCTCTGGCACGTGTGCACGGAGGATCCGTGTAGCAGCACTCTGGTGGATTGCAGTGGTATTTCTGGCTTTTTATTTTCTGTTGCTTAGCAAGCTAAAGGAAGAGGCCTTACAAAGAGCCTTCCGAGAAAGATGCCTCCTTCCTAATGCTCCTTTAATGCTCGTTGCAGGGGATTCTCAGGTGTATTTTTTCCTCGTACTTGGTACAGCCACGAAATCTTACCTTTTTTCTATTTCTTCTTTACTTACAGAAGTACAATGTCTCTCAAAGCTTGAAAAAGCAGTCTGAACTATGAACCAAGAATAAAAGTAATCCACGAAGTAACCACAGCAGAGGTATCACAAACAGGTTTCTTCCCCTGCTGTAGTCACATCCACCTTTACTGCTCCTTTTACACTGCAGTCCCTGTGAGTCCCAGTCGTCAAGCATGCCTCTTTCAAAACAAATGGAGGGAGTGCTTCAGGTCATGCTAAACATGACACCGGCAAGCAATTAACTCTTCTTTATTTCCTCCTTTTAACTTAAATTAGTTCTCCTCTTAAATTACCATAGAGGACTTTTTCCAGCTTTCTCCTTCTAAAGGAAAATAGAACATAAGGATATTTTTCTCTGAATTTCCCAAACTGGACCTATTGACCACTTATCTCATGCACTCGCTGGACTGTTGCTCTGAGCAGGTCAGTTGTCGTAACTTTATGTGGAAGGATACAATAAGAGAGAAAAGTCAGATGGGGACAATGAAGTCTCCCAGCCTTACTGTTGTTTTCTGGCATTATCCTTGTTCACGTTCCAGTTGTTACCTTAAAGAGGCTTCTGTTCTGTTACGCATCCCATTTTTGTGGTAGTACAACAGCTCAAACTTTAAGGAAATTTTAAGGAAATAGGGTTCTATGGTCTCTCCAAAGACTTCTATCCCTTGCTTACGCCCACCCTAATGTTTGTGCAGACACATACCAAGTTCACTCAGGGAACTGACTCATCTGAAAAAGTGAGTATTTGGTAAAGATGATCTACACCACAATGAACTCCCTGAATTAACTCACGCAGTCACATAAGCACTATCGCCACTGGAACTATGTGGCATGTGCACCCACCCTAAGTTGCTGAACCAAATGGCTGCTACCAAGTCCACATGCAGAAAATGGAGTCTTCAGCCAATGAGAACTAATGTGACCATATATGACCACTGATAGATTCCACTAGGGTACAAATGGAGCCTCACCAAAGGATCTGTTGAGTCGGTCCTCCTTGGAGCAGCAGGTCTGTAGTTGAGGAAACCACCCAAAGTAACTCCTCGAGGCTGAGAGCCCTCACCTTGCTAGGTCAGTGATTCTGCATTCTGGCTCATCATTCTAACCTTAGGATCAGCACGCTAGCCGTGTAATAGTAGTTCCTGCTTAGCATCCTGAACCTGTGATTAACCAGTGTTTGTTGGAGCACTGAATTGGCCTTAATCAAAATAAACCACTTTGAAGTATATCATCTGATTGATTTAAACCGGTAAGTCTCTGTGACAGACTACAGCAGACCAGATGTACATCAGCTTGAGATACTGGAGAAACAAGCTCACGGCCCCTTCATTCATCCTGTGTAGTGCCTAGAGAACACTAAAAAGCAGTAGGCAGTTGCTTTGACTCTATGCACTCTGATACAAAGCCAATTATCAGTAGTCCTGGCTGCCAAGTACACACTTCAAAGATCAAAGAGCAAACTGGAGATTTCAAAAAAAATTTTTTTAAAAAGTATATATAGCGAATGCCCCTTACAACAATTTACACTTCACATGTAAGTACCACATTTCACAAGCACAACTCCGCACATTAATGTTTCACTTGCACCAAAAAATAGGCTGGAGTCCATCCAGCACATAGAAGTTAGGAGAAATGCAAGCTGCAAGACTAAAAAGTTTAAAATAAACTTAAACAAAAGTTCAAAAAGAAGCTGGTGATTTTGAGAAGGAGAAAAAGGAACAGGCAGGTCTCCAAACTGTCAGGACGCTGGATTCTAGAGGACAATGACCAAAAGATAGGGTACTGCAGTACAAGTTGCTCTTTCACATTTCATAGCTGGACCATGTCTTGAGAGTTCAAAAGAACCAAAGACACTCAACATTTTGTCAACTAGCATCTAGAATTATTTTGGACTCTCTCCTGTCGTAACACTGCTTTGCTCGAATTAAATCTTAACTAGAAAACTGAAGACATAATGGAAATTTTTTTGTTTTCCCTTTTAATCTTGTCTGGCATAAAAAGTAAGCCCAGAAAAAGGAAATAAAATTAAATAATCTTTCCTACCACCAACACCCCCATCAGGAATGAGGGACACAGTCTTTCAGTACTCACTGTAGAGGTGACTACAAATAATTTAATTTTTATCTGTTCTAAGTTATCATTTAAGTCCTGAAAGTAATTATTCACTTGCTTTGGAACTCTGAAGTTTGTCTGGTATGTCTTTTTGTTAGTTTTCTTTAAATAAATACCAGGCTTCTCTGTTCTACTATTCCCAATTCACAAATAATGGCCTAGTACTACAGTCATAATGCCAATAGTAAATGATTGTGTAAACCTTGCAGACACTATCAGCCACAACCCAGTTTCCCACATCAACCTTGAATTTATCCATCATCCAATTTAATACCTGAATCAGTGAGGACGTATAGCCACAGTACAGAAGTGTGGCTCTGATGTTAACTCATCCATACATTTTTCATATTGCTTATATTTTTTCCTTTCATAGTGCAAATTAATGCGTGTACAAATAGCTTAACAGAACTCTTAACTCTTCAGTGAATTAATTTACAAGACAGTAAAAAAGGTTTATGTTGTTACTGTTAGCATATTATTTTCAGTCTTCAAGGTCCATCAAAATTAAGATAATGCAAAAGCAGTCCCACTGCTTTCTACTGATTTTTGAAGCTTGCTCCAGTTGCAAAAAAATAACTAGGTTCGTCTTTAACTGTCAAAAATGTTAAAATTTTCTGTCCCAAAGCAGTGTTCCCAGGGAAACAGTGTATTATAAAAGGAAGCATGAACAGAACATACTTGGAACACACTTATAAAGTTCTGATCCTCCAAAGTAGGAAGTGTATAGAGAATACAAGCAGGTATCCATTTTTGAACTGCATTTCTTTAAAGTGGTCTCAAGTATCTCCTCAGCACTGGTGCTGTTTGTAGGACAGTACTGGAGACATCGGCAGAACAGGCGATACTGGAGTTGTAGTCAACACCTGATTCTGGAAAACAAACATTTTAATCCTACCAAACACCCAAAGAAAGATAAGGAGAATGCTGACATACTGGATCCAGGCAAATTTAAGCATTTCCCAAAATCCTGGCTGATATTTAAAGAAGGTCAAGGAGAGTTCATGAAGAAGCTTCTGATACTACCACTGCAATAACTAAACAGGAACTCAGAGGTGGAAAGGCACAAAATCATTAGATGTCAGTTTGTCTGGCAAACGCAAAGCCTTTCAGCCATGGAAACCCCTAAAAGCCTCTTACCATAGTATGTAACAAAAGCAGCAAAGAATGGCTGTCCTAGGAGACATTTAAACCAATACAGTGGAAAGTGCCAATTTTGTCCCTGACTCACCAGAAAGTAGTTATTGGTAATACTTAGGCAGGTAAACAAATCTGACAAGAAATATGCTCCATACAGATTCTTTTAAACACAGGCTTGTTCTTGTCTGAGAAAACGAGTAAAGAATGTAATGAATGAATAATTATTTCACTAAAAAAAAAAAAAATCAGGTCTGTCTGCACATGTAACAGATTTGCCACATCCACTGTGGGGGTTATTATTTAGTGAGCTTATCTTGCATACAGATTTCTAATTATTTGCTTTAGGTCACAGAATACAGTGTCATGCTTTGCTAGTGGCATCTGTGACAGACTGGGACAGCAGGTGCTGCAGGAGCAAAGCAAGACTTACTAAGGATATTCACTGTGACTGGCTAAGAAACTGCCTTAGAGGCCAGTTTACTAAGGCTGAAAGGCAACACAGGTTCCCAGCAGAGGAAGGCAAAAAGGGGTTAGGCAAGCAGAACCATGTGGAGGAACAGGAAAACAGAGCTATAGTATTTGCTTAGCTAACAAAGGAAAAGTTTATCAACACGTCTAGAAGAAAACCATTTTAATTTGGCCTGTATAAATAATGCAACCCAGTTATGTCCCAGTTTATGCAGTTTTCAAAGGATATAAGATAACTTCCACTGGGTAATGAATAGTCGCGTTAATGATAAATGGTGCATCTGTTGCTCTTCCAGTCATCCAGACAGGGTTGGGATCTGAAAAAACTGTTGTCACTAAAATAGGGAAAGGAAACATCCAGGTTAAGGGGCTTCTCAGTCTCAATACAGAACTCAAATCCTCACAGAACAGCTGCCAATATGCTAACTACTGCTGTCCTGTAATCTGCAGATATACGTTCAGGCTTACCATTTCTATCCCAATATGCTGCAATGATGTTTGTGAGATCATAGTCACTCGCAAAAGGACTTGTGCCATTGACCACAGATACCTGTTACAACAAGGAGATACTTGGATTATTTGTCCACTTTTCAAGAAAGTCATTCTACCAAGTTTCTTATGCAAAGTAACCATGCCCTTGAAGGAATGCACATAAGCATCAGACTGAACGTCTTGGCAGAATAACCTCTTCCACCTTTCAGCCTAACATGAAAACAACAGTCACAAAGTTCTAGGATCCACTCTGTGTAGGAGACCAAATAACTAGGGTGTCACCTCAGGTACTAGGAGGATAAAGGCAGGGGGAATTGATGGGGAAGGAGAAAAGTTTCCTCACATTGTATCTGGTATCCAGTCCACAATGGTTAAGTAATTGCCTCTGCTTCAATTTCAGGTCTCCATTCATATAGAGCTGAGACCCTGGCACAGGAGAAAAAAACTGAAGAAAAGCCATGCTCTGCATCACGAGTGTTGACATTCTCTGAAATTGTGAACACAATAAAAGATAATTTAGGTGGGGGGATGACGACACCACATACTTTTCTAATGACAGAAAGACCTGACTTGCCATAACATGTGAAAAACAGCAAGATGACTAAACGCATTCATTAGTGACACACATTAAAATATTCAGCAGTCAAAGCCAGCTGAGGACTCCTGCTCTGCAATAAGGACCAAACAAGGAAGTTCCTTAGCCCTTATCAACCACTCAGTCTGGAGAAAAATTTTCACATTTACTGGAAAACAAAGGTGTGGTGAATATTGGAACTCTCTGTGATACTAATCACTGACCTAATACTTCAGCACAAATTTAGGAGTGTTGGGACTTCACTCTGGGCCTCAGAGTTTAAGAATGTTTTCTACATCACACAGCTATGCTTGCTAAGCTTGTCCATCTGTGACCAGCAAGAGTCTCTTGGATAAACTAAGCCTAATCTCCCTTGTAAAACAACTTCTTGTCTGTGTGGCTGCATCCAGCACAGGTCTATACTACTGCTCCTTTCAGATGCATGCATGGGTTCTTTGTGCACTAGTGTTTACTCACTGCTTCAAGTATTATTTGCACCACCACTTGGGAGATAATGGCAGCCGAATTTTATTTTCCTGTCTCCCTATAACACCTTCTTCCTCTTCCCAGTTACAAGATACAGAAGATCCTGGCAGATGATTACCACTGCTAGAAGAGCTGTTAAGTAAGCAAAATCTATGGAGCTTTAGGCTGCTTTAACAGCCCACCCCTCCACCTCGGAAAGCTGACTGGTTATGTCAAGACACAGCAGTATGTAGGAACACACATCCTTCTGCCTACTGCAGGACTCTTAAGTTATTTCCTGATGGCACCCCTACTGATATCCAGTGTTGTGCATCTCTGTCCTTTATGCTGCACTACAGCCCAAGAGAAAACAAACCCAAAACAGCTTCAAAACAAACCCAAAAACCAAACCTCTTAACTAAACATATCAAAATACACAACAGAGATAGACTAGGAATGACCCATCAGAGGAAGAGCAAATTCAATACTTGTTAGTAAAATAAATCTTTTGAATAGGAATTTCAAACATATTACACTGTGTCTATATATCACGACAAATAAGACTAAAAATGCTCACATAAAGCTGGTAGGAAAAGAGGAGAATCAGCTGAACACCAACTACATGCTCTGTAGGTTGTAGTGGAAGTTCCAGTTTAAAATGCAGCTGATCCATTTTGCCATCTTGATTTTTGTCTTCTTCTTTAGTCTAAAGGAACCATAAGAATGTTTATTAAAGACAGGAACTGCTGTTAGAAAGAAAAACAAAAAAGGTAAAACCCCAGGGGATCTCCACACCTGCAGCATGCACATACTAAGGAAGGAAATAAACTGCATAGTTAGGAAAGCAATAAAAAGCTGCTTGACATTACAGACACAGGACTAGAGACAAGCAAGAAGCCTGCAATTTTGTCTGTTACACAATGTCTCATATGCCCCCCAGGGAGGGAAAGCTCAGACTCTTCAAGGTCTCTTCTGCCCTATGCCATTCCAGCTGTGCCTCCTGCATGCTACAAAGCATGCCGTAGTGCTGGATCTTCTGCCACATCCTGTGCAAATGTGTGACTGATGGTCAAGGCTTTTGCCTCTTGCCCTTGCAGCCTGACTCTTAATGGACTCTGTATGCCAATTCCTGCTTTTGAGCCAAGGCTTGCTACACTTCAGTGCCACAGATGCCCAGTACTTCAGCTGTCTGCAATCATAACAGGACTCATAACAGAGGTAACACAGTAAAATAACTGCTACTGTTGAATCCCAGAAGGAAAAATGCCTGCAGGGCAGAGGCTATGTGCCTTAAGAAGCACATACCTGCTTTCAAAACCAGCAACTACCAACCCCTGCAAACTTCATATCATGATAAGCCATATGGCGAGGGGGGAGGGGCACAACTAATTTGAGGAAAGTAAATTGATGTGTTTGTGCAAACCACCAGTGGTGCTCAAGGGCATGGTTTAGTGGAAGAACAGGCAGTGCTAAGTTAGTGGTTGGCCTTGATGATCTTAAGGGTCTTTTCCAACCTAAATGCTTTTACAAAAGCAAGAAACTATGTTCATGAAATTGAACATGAGCCTGCAGTGTGCACTTGCAGCCCATAAGGCCAACCAGATCGTGGGCTGCATGAAAAGGAGTGTGGCCAGCAGGTTGAAGGAGGTGATTCTGCCCCTCTACTCTGGTCTCATGAGGCCCCACCTGGAGTACTGTGTCCAGCTCTGGGCCCCTCAACGCAAGGACGCTGAGCTGCTGGAGCGGGTCCAGAGGAGGGCCATGAAGATGATCAGAGGGCTGCAACACAGCCCCTGTGAGGACAGGCTGAGTTGGGGTTGTTCAGCCTAGAGACCTTATAGCAGCCTTCTAGTACCTAAAAGGGGGCTACAGGAGACATGGGGAGGGACTTTTTACAAGGGCATGTGGGGACAGGACAAGTGGCAATGCATTGAAATTGTAAGAAGGCAGATTTAAACTAGATATTAGGAAGAAATTCTTTACTGTGAGGGTGGTGAGACACTGGAACAGGTTGCCCAGGAACCTGCAGATGCCCCATCCCTGGAGGGGTCCAAAGCCAGGCTGGATGACTTGGAGCAATCTGGGTTAGTGGGAGGTGTCCCTGCCCATGGGGACTGGATGATCTCTAAGGTCCCTTCCAATCCAAACCATTCCATGATTCTACTGAGAGGGAGCAAAACCGGACTGCTTAAGAATCACTTGTCCTAAGCGATTTTTGCTGTGAGGCCCGAGGTTATGCACGAAGCTGCTGCTACTCGAAGGCAGCAGTGCGTGACAGGCCGCCTGCTCCCCCCGACCCCCTCCGGCCCC